AGGGAGATGGTTACATGAGGGCTGAGAGACCCAGGCAAAGTCCACCCATCTTTTCCTGCCTCCTCTTTTACCCAACTGAAGAATAAGGAGAAGGTTTGGAGCGGAGTAAATGTTCCTCATGTTAGTCTTTGGAAAGTTCATGGGTGTATTAGTTTGCTAGAGTTGCCATAACAGAGGACTACAGACTGAGTGGCTTAAACAAAAGGAATTTGTTTTCTCACAGTTCTGGAGGCAAGAACGCTGAGACCAAAGTGTAGGCATGATTGTTTTTTATTAAGAGCTCTCTCCATGGCTTGTAGATGGCCGCCTTCTCACTGTGCTCACATGATTGCCTCTCTGTGTGCACAAGTCTGATCTCTCTCTCTCTCTCTCTCTCTCTCTCTTCCACTCTCTTCCCCCCACTTCTCCTTCTCTCTTTTTCTCCCTCCACCCCTCCCTGTTTTCCTCCCTCCCTCCCTCTACTAATGTCCTAATCTCTTCTTATAAGGACATCAGTCAGATTACATTAGGACATACCCTAAAGACCTAATTTTAACTTAATTGCCTCTTTAAAAACCCTATCCCCAAATACAGTTACATTTTGAGGTATTGGGTGTTAGGGCTTCAACATATGGATTTCAGAAGGGCACAATTCAGCCCATAACAATAGGTTAATATGAGCAGAGAATATTGAGCTATACTGGGGAATTGCTAAGTATTATTATTGTTATTATGATGTTGCCTTTATGTAGGACATCTTTTGCCCTGAGTGATTAATTTCTAATCAGGCCATCTGGAATGCTGGTCTCCAGGTTTCCTGCACAGAGCTGGCCAATTCTGCCCCAAGCCTGGTATTAAGAGTTTGTCAGCACCTCCCTCCCTTCTAGAAGGAATCCCAGTCACAGGAGTGCGGCCGACCTGGCTTTCCAAGTTGCTGGTTTTGTAAATTCTCCACGCACTGATGTCATTTACTTCTGTCCATTCAGCATAAGGCATTTAGTGATGAGATCATTTAAATTTCATTTTGAGGTGTTGGAACAAGCCATAAAAATTTTTTTGGAAGATATCAAATAAATAATAATGGCTTTGCCAGAATAAGGATTTTAACAGTGGTACAGTAGGTCACATTTTGATTCATACGGAAGGATAAAAATAGCCCAACAACAATGGGAAATTCTGAAAAGTGCCTATTGAGCAGTCACGGAAAGCCCAACTGGGATGTGAAGAGAAATGCATGCATATCTAGAGGTTACCGTCCGCCCTCATTTGCAAGTACACATCTTTCTGGGGCAGCGTCTACTGGCACTCAATAAATACTGGGTGATTGTTTAATAGAAAAAGATATGCTGAATAGGGCTCTGCAATCCCACGTTTTGCTTTTAATATTTAAAGAAGTCTGAGCTTCAAACTTCTTGTGTCATAATAGCTTAACTTTGGAGCAGGAAAGAGAAGATACCTGTACCATTCAGGAATGCCTGTGGACTCAGAGCTCATGATAATCATGGTCCGTCTCTGCATCCAGCCCCAGGAGGACACAGGCGTGCATCTACAACAATTAAATGCTCCCAAAGCACCCCTTTCACCTCTGATTTTGGGATTATTTTCTTGGGTGTGTATATTTGTGAATGAACTCTGTATTGTCTATTGGCTGCTTTTCCTGGGCTTGTGTTGGGGGTGGGAATAGTGCTCCTAAGACCTTTTCATTGTTGTGACACACATGGAAAATTATGTTTGTAGGGCACACAGGGACAACCAGGTATGTAAATTGGGTCCAGTTCAGGAAATCAGAAACTGCTCTAGTTATTGTAACAGAGTGAGTTGAATACAGGGAACTGGGAAAACAGTTAGAACTGAGAAGGTAACCCAGATGGAAAAATTGCCACAGTCATCTCTAGGATGGGGAAAAAAAGGTGAGAAATTGGTATTATTAGACTTGGAGCTCAGCAGAGGGTCCTGGAGAGCTGGGACCAGTCCTCTGAGGAGGGTAGGGTCCTCTGATCAGTGGCTCCTGGTAGCCAAGGAGCTTGGAGGAGGGAGCCCAGGATGCTGGGGAGGACACAGCCTTGGCTGCTGCTGGTCCTACTGAGAGGCAGTAATGCACTCTGGGAGAGTGGACAAAAGCTGGAAACCAGAACCCGCTGCCGCTGCAGAGGTGATGAACCAATGCTAGGCCATCGCTGACTGAACAGCCAGCAAACAGGCAGGAGCAAGTCCTCTCTTCCTCCTCCTGCCTTCCAGGCTCCCTCTCAAGCCCCATGTCATTAAAACCTTCCAGGGAGTCATCTGTAAAAAGAGAAAAATATTTGCAGCTCCCTGGCACCAGTATCACAGAGCAGAGAATAAAGGAGCCTGGAGGCAGTAGCTTAATAGTTGGCACCTAGGACTACCAGCCCAAGGTGTCTGGCCACCTCAGGTCCCACGTTACTGTCCCTCAGGATGGGGGATCAAGTCTCAGCCTTCTTATAGCCCACTGGGTGTTAGACCCATTGGGAAGTGATGGCTTAGGGGCATAACTATCAGCAAAGAGAGGTGGGTTAGTGTCACGGGGAGAGGATGCAGCATGAGGACATGGCGAATGTCATGAGATAAGGTAAATGACTGCGGCCCTAATGAGGAGACAGAAAGAGCCCAGTGTCTGCAAGTAGTCTCTAGAGATTGACTGCCAGACGTAAAAGCAGGTTCCGGGCCTCACAGCTACCCTGACTCTTAAAGCTTCCCTGACCTGGGGCAAACTACTTAACCTTGTGGAGCGTCCTGTGCTGCTGTGAGGATTACATGAGATAATCTGGGTAAAGTGCTTAGCACGGTGCTTGTCACAGGGCGAGCATTCAATAAGTGTTAGTTAGTCCCTAGGAAGGGAAAATTTGTGGAGCTTGCTTTTCCGTTTTCTCTGTATTGTGATTACTGTGTATGTACAGGATCACTCATTTTCTTATCCTGATAGCCCTGTGCTACCCCTGGTTCTGCATTGGAGACAATTTAATCTCTACTGGCCAGTTAGATCATCCCTCCTCCCTTGCAAATCTGGTAGGGAGACGAGTCCACACAGGGTCATTTCATCCAGGAGATTGTCTCTTACTCGAATTAACAGTGTGGCCCTGGCTATGTGACCAAGTCAGCTCCCCTGGTATCTGGGAGCTTAATTTTCTGTACGATTGGAGTTAGTACAACAGTCCTTTATTTATGAACAGTGATGCATGTGCAGTCATTACTCAGTTCCTGATGACTATTCTTGGTCACTGTGGGCATCTAACCAAGTGTGTGATTTTATATGGAGCTGGCTGTATGGTTCGCCTTGGGAGGCACCAGTCTTCAAGGCCCTGTGGTGTTTTTAAGGCACCTCAAGGCCAGGTGTGCTACCCATGGACTGGCACAATAAAACCCACTTCAGACTGTGAGCAAACTGTCAATATTTATCTCAGGGTCTTGATCCTATGTCCCTCCCGTTCCTGCCCCCTATATCCAGTTGCTATCCTTGGACTTCACGTTTTACCCTCAGCCTGCACAGTTGCTACCTCCCTAACGTTTCATGTTCCCTTGCACCAGATTTGACTCTCTTTCTGGATCCTGAATCTATGCAGTAGCTCTGCCTGGGTCAGTGAATGTGTATGTGTGGGGGTACCCAGATGGAGATGCTGTTCTTTGTTTATTTGAAGGTACCTACCATCTCACCATTGAAGACACATTGCTTTAGTCCGAGATATAGAGCGTGGGATGGTAATAGTTTCTATTTGGAGAAGAGACAGGGTTTCATGGTGAAATCATTTGGGAAACACTGGGTTAAACAAGGTTAAACAGGTTTTCTCTTACCCCAAGTCTTCCCTGAGCTGTTGAGGTGCTAATATTCATTGGTGAACCTCCAAGAAAGAAAGTATGCAGCAGTTATGTAATCACCAACTCCTTTTTTTTTGAAGGAGCAGTGCTTGGGACAGGAAAATATTGCTAGGGTAGGCATTGACTTTTTCTTATAATCTCTTTTTCTTGGTGTCATCTTCCTAAATTAAAGTACTTCTGGAAGGAAATTTTTATTAAGTCACTATCACTTTAGTGAGAATCAGCCCAATTCACTTCCAAGTACTTCAGGATTTTCCTGTACAAAGATTCTTCCTATCGTGTCTTCCTTTCTGTCTTCTCCCAACTGTCCTCGGGCTTGGCCTGGCAGATTCTGTAGAAGAGGTAGATTGGAAGGGACTGGTGTGGGAGACTTGGCTCCTGAAACTCCTCACCTCAACAGCCTTCCACTTTATTCCTTATTTTGTTTCTTCCTCAATTATCTAAATTCTGATTTTCTGCCCATCTCTTAGTGTGTCCTCCAGCCAATCCAGTGTAATGCAAGGATGGGTTCCTCCGCTTTCCACCTGGCTTCATCTTCCCTCATCCTCTTCTTTCTCAGGTCAGTTTGACTAGTCATTGATTTGAGTTAGATTAAGATAATCGAATATTCGTGATGCAGGGGGTCCTGATCTATTATTCTGCTTCATTATTCAGGAGAAAGAATAAGGGGTTAAATGCCACGTTAGTGGGTCCTGACTCCCAGGCCTCTCCCTGCACTAAGCTTCCCCCTAGATTGTATGAATTGTGTCTTTTTAGTTAGCAAGCATTGCACCTTGGATAAACCTCATTTGCTATGAGACTGCCACTGAGCAAAGCTACTCATGTCTTTTTATTCTGTATTTTTTATGCTTTTACATCTTGCTGACCCAGAGAGACTGTCCTTCCTAAGGCGAGTTTATTCCTAGAGATAGCAAACAACTCAACTAGCCTACAAATGTGCCGTTCATATACAAACCAACCAGTCCAGAGCCCATAACCCCAACCACCTTCTGTATCACGCTCTCACACTCGCGGCCACTATCCACGTGTCCTAATACACCAGGGCCAGGTACCAGGCAACTAGGGACAGCCCCTGTGCCCCCAAGCCTGCTGAAATTATTCAAACTAGCCAATCCTATGCCTGCTTACCCTGCCTCATGGAGTCTTTCCCTTAGAAACCACAATAAAGGCTCTTGGCACAGTTTCCCTGTCTCCTTCTGCCTGATGACTAACCCTGGTGCTTCTCTGTGTGGGCCCCCCCACCCCCAACATGGTGTAGCATGCCACTCCTCTCGGGATGTGTAAGTATAACAAAATGTCTCTTCAATGGCAGTTGTTTACCGGTCTGTTGGTTCTACCATGTCTAAATAATAATTAAACCTTTGTTATGAAACAGGGCTTGCTTGGTCCCAGGGAGCTGTCTGCATTTTTGGAAGGCACAGAAACTCTCCAAGCTTCGGGCAGATGGAGGCCCTGCAAAAGGATCTCCTGGTGGCAGAAAGTTGTTGTGTGAGTACAGCCTGATGTTTTCATCCTTGGGGACTGATTCCCTGGGGGAGGTCCTGTCATCACCACGCCTCGCCCCAGAGGCCCTCTCTTCCTTGTGTCAAACACTGGCAAAGCCACAGTCCTTTTCTCTTGTTCCCTTTCATACAAGCCAGGCAAGCCGGGATTTTCAAAGGGAAATTGACTTCAAAAATAAAGGAAATCAAAAGGAAAATACACTAAAAGGGAGGGAAAAACCCCCACCAAATGCACTAATACACATGAACAAAAAAACAAAGATTAAAAATTTTTTTTAAAAAGGAGGAAAATCGAAAATCAAGTAAACCTAAGAACGGCCAACTTCAAAGCTCTGGGCTGCGGCCACCCTGGCTGTGTTCCAATGCGATCCTTTTAGTCTGCAGCAAGATGAGCTGTTTCTTGGTGACAGTGAATCCTCCCCTTCCACAAGTGCCTCGTGCTCCAGCCCTCCTCCCCCAACCCCACTACATTATTGATTAAAAAAAACAGCCTCATTATGGGGTCCATTTGGCAGTAACTTCTCCCTCTTTGAATAGAGTCCAAGGCAAACCAATGCTACACTCGAATATTTCTCTGGAAGATAACTATTCTATCCAGGCTGTACCCTGAATTAGCTCTCAGGCCACACCCCTTCCTGTGGTCCCCAGGACCCCAGGACCCTAGGACCCTCCAGGCTTAACCCGCCTCTGGCCCCTCCTCCCTGTCTACCAGCTCACTGTGGCTCCTGGTTCTTTAGCGTTGCTCATTTGTAGGCCTTCTCTTCTTGGGCGCTTGGACATGACAACTCAGCTCTTGCCAGTCTACTTCTGGCCTGTGACCTTGACACTCTGGAAGATCCTGCCATAAAAAAAATGCCCCCAAGCTCCAGTCCAGGCCTCTAGGACACTATTGAATAGAGCCCTGAGCTCCTGATTATCTGGAAGGGACATTGTAAGAAACTATGTTATTAAAAGGTATTTGCTAAGTCTCTTGCATAGCAAACAAACACCACCACTGCAGTAAAAAAAAAAAATTAAAATCAATAAGTTAAAAAAGTAGAAAGGGTAGAAGACCCATGCAAAGGCAAAACAACAAGGCTCTTTGAGGTTATGTAACCATATGAATAACTATAACAGATAATGTCTCTTCTATTGGACAAATGTTTATGGAGCACCAACAGTCTGTTAGGTGCCACGAGTTCTAGGCATTGGGATTGTATCAGTAGATAAAACAGACAAAAATCTCCATCCTCATAGAGTTTATATTCTTAAGGGAAGGGGAGAGACTGACACTAAACATAATGAATACGCCATTCAAACAAGGGAAGGTGGGTTTGTCCAGAGGAAAAGAGCAGAGTCCCTCCCTGGAACGTGAGTCTGAGGGGCGGACAGCCATGTGCCCAGGCCACTGCAGTCGAGCCTGGTTTTGGACTCCAAAGGAGCAGCAGACTGTTTCTGCAGAAGTTTTCCTGGAACATGTGACCTTTGCTTTCACCCAGATTTTATTCCAAGTGTACTCTCTTACCCTGAGAGGCGGGAGAATGCCTGAGGCTTCAGTGACACAGCATCTGGCAACAGGGCGAATTCCGGGCTTGTTGGAGGAGCACTGCCCCATGGGGGCCTCTGGCTCTTGACAGGCCGAGCTGGAATGTTGTCATGTCTGGCCAGTGTGTGAGCAGCTTCTGTCTACACCGACACAATGCTTGTGTCTATAGTACCTCCATACATGGAGCAAACACGGACCCAATGACTATTTTATATGCAGCTGCGTCTTTCAGAGGCAGAACGTCAGGAGGGCTTGAGAAGTTTTAAGTGAGGCTGAAAGAAGTCAGCTGCCTGGAGCAAAAGGAGCAAAAGGAACAGCTTAAAGGGAGCTGCTGCTTGGGAGGGGGGACGTGGGGGCGGTGACTGTGACCATAGACATTGCCACCTTCATGAGCTAAAGAACCACTGGCGTAAAAATTAGAACCCAGTAGGACCCGTTAGAGTAGATGATGCATAGACCATTCATTCCTTTATTTAGCAATTTAATTAATTGATTTCTGCATGATAATCTGCCAGCAACTAGGAACAGAGATGAATACAGTCTTGTTTCTGCCTTCAAGCAGGTTGCAGTTTTGAGCAGTGCTGTTCAGTGAACCTTCCTGGGGCACTGGAAATGTTCTGTCATTCTACAGTACCTATGTGTGGCTACTGAGCACTATATATGTGGCTATTGCAGCAGGCACTCAATTTTAATTTTTTTAATTTTAATTAATTCAAATTTAAATTTAGCTGAGCCTTGAAAAATAAGACTAAATAACTGAGCCAACTGAGCCTTGAAAAATAAGATTAGAAATAGTTATTTGACACAAGCATGGTCTACCAGTAGGCAAATGGGTTTTCTACACTTTTCTAGTGCATGTGAAGTTCTTCATGATACCATGCCTTTGGAGAGATGATTGTCTCATCCTCCGGGCTTCCTCAGGTTATTCTTGCTCTCCTCACTCTCATTTTTTTTTTCTCTAGAGATATGGAGAGGAAGTCTGTTTAGCCAGCAACAACACAGCCCTTATTTATATGTAGTAAACATCTTCATCCATTCATCCACCTACCCACATACACAACCCTTCTCTGATTCAACTTCCTCCTCTAAAGAGCTGAGATGGAGGAGCATTGACAAGTGAAAGGCCGCTACAGGATCAGCATGAGATTTTAGACACATGTACACACACCCTTTAAGAGACAATGCCTCAGGAGGTCCCTGGGAAATGAAAGTTCTGCTCCCAAAAGGCAGCAGTTACTGCTAATGGGAATGATGAGGCCATAGAAGTGGATGTCAATTACACTGATGACTGGATGAATTTTTCAAGAGTCAGGCAAGTTGTAGTAAAGGAAACCATTAGCAATAACACCAACAAAGATGGATGTCTGCCTAAAGAACTCTCATCATTGTCATCCTGTGCACCCTTGTTCCTAACTTGAAGATGGCTCTGCTCCATCACTGGCCAGGAGCTGAGCTGTCTTTGTGGGCCACGCCTGGGGTTCATGTACTTCCTCTCCAGAAAAACCAGCCAAGGAAATAACCATGATTTTGCTTCAACTATTGTATCCATGAACCCCATCCTACCGTGAGTTGGCAGCTGAGGGATTTCCTATCCATTTAGTAAAACATTTGAGAGGAAAAGGGGTGTATAAAGGTCATCTCCATAATTTAAGACATTTTCCCACTTAAGTACATACATGTGCACACATTCACGCATGCTCACAGACACGGAGCTTGAATGCTGTGGGCTGTTAAAGGGTTGCTTCTCTCAGCTATGGCTTTTTCTCTCCTTTCACTACATTTTGCTGACAAAATGTGGATAATCGAGAAAGAAGAGTTAAGTGGTCTGGTGTTGGGGAATAGAGTGTGAGGGAAGCTATTATGCCAACAGAATGTTGAGAGTCTTCTAATTTTTAGCCAATTGTTTAAAAGACGACAGACGGTAATGTTTACGAGATGTATAATTCAAGGCAAATCTGTCCAGATAGAAAAGAGAAAGCATTTTTAACTTGGCTAACAAATGTTGAGCTGCATTCAGATAAATAAAACCAACAAAACCCAAGGCACATAATTGCAACATTGCAGAGATGGAAAACAGTCTTATTAAAAAAACAAACAAAAAAAAGAATTACATTTACTTGAATAAGGAGTTGGGATTTTTCTACCCTTTGCTGCTGGTCAGTTGTATTATCAGTCACAGGTAAAGGCAGGATATGTCCCCACATCTTGCATATTTGACATTTGTTTACACTTTCCAAGGTCACGCTGCATGCTAGTTTTTCAGTTCTTCCAACTTTTTGTTTTGAGCCAAATACCATGATCTTTGTTTCATTAATATTAAAGAGTAATTTAGATTGTGCCAGATGATCTTAAAGCGCATTTAAATCAGCCTGAAGATAATATTAAGCTTTCTTCCAGCATAATCTACCACCATAAATGATAGTGTCATCTGCATGTAAATGATGGGCTGAATATGATAATGAATAGCAGAGATTATCAATATAGAATGACAACTGCATTTGATTTCAGATAAATCTTTCAAGGCTCCATTATTCTGTTTTCACAGTGAAAGATGCATTGTTTTTGTCCAAATTCTCTAAAGAAAACACAAAATGTTTTCATGAAATGAATCTTGTATTGTGTTAGAAAGAAGGTGGGGGGGGCATGTCCTCAAATTTTGCACGTACTGTTTTGCAAATACAATAATTAGAGTTCACACAGATCATTACTTTATTGGATTGAGCAAATGTCTCTTGGCAATTGCTGCGGCTTTTCCTTTTCCCCCTCCTCCTCCTCCTCCTCCTCCTCCTCCTCCTCCCGATGACAATCAACACTATACTGTTTAACTCGAGACTGGCTTGTACCCTTAGCTAAATGCCATAGGCCTGGGGGATTCCTGCCCATGCTGTATTCTAGGGAACATCCTTTCACACTCTAAAAACATTTACTTTTAATAAGTCACATCTTCCTATTTTATTGACCTAAAACTTACTGGTATCTCTTGTTTGACTAAAATACAACCTTCCGATCACTATGTATCAAATATGATTTGTAGAATTAAATTAAGGATCTATATTCCTTCCCTAAGAGAAGGGACTATTTTTAAACTCAAAGGGGGAAAAAAAAACCATATTGAGGAAAAATGAAGAAATAGACAAAGAGAAAAAAGTCCATGCCAATAAACATGTGTTGACCTTTGTGCTGGTGAAGATAGAGGCCTATGGCTGCAACCACAGTCATAATTCATTTTCTTAATGGTTTCTGGGAAAAGTTAAGCAAAATACTGATTATTCTTTTCCTCCCATCTCTCTTTTTTTCTTTTGATCTTAGTGTGGTCTCTAAACCACATTCAGGAGTTCTGGGAGGTGCTCTTGAGGTTTTAAAGCTGGTAAAGAAGGTGAAGTTTGCCCCTGGGCTGGGAAGGAATTTTCCACTTTTCAGATTCGGCAGAACTAGTCACTGTTCTGGGTCCAGGGAGATGGACTCTTGAAGAAACAAACCATGGAACACGTCAGTAAGCTTCCTTTGGGAAATTGCATATGTGTTTTATTGAGATATAATTGACATATAACCTTGTATTAGTTTTAGGCGTATAAAATATGTATATATTGCAAAATGATTGCCACAGTTAAGTTAACATCATTACCTCACATAGTTAAAAACATTTTTTTTTCTTGTAAGGAGAACTCTTAAGATCTATTCTCTTAGCAACTTTCAAATACGAGATTTGACCTGTGTACACATTTGTGACACTTTCACAAATTCTTCGCCATATGGGCCTGCAGTAAGGCTGCTTGAGCATCCTCGTGACATGGCAGCTGGCCTCCCCTGGAGTGACTGATCCAGGAGAGAGAACAGGGAGCAAGCCACTTGTGCCCTTGTATCCTAATCTCAGATGTCTTATACCATCACTTCCACCACATCCTATTTGTGAGAAGTAAGTCAATAAATACAGCCCACAAGTAAGGGGAGGGGAATTAGATCCCACCTTTAAAGAGAGGGAACAAAATTCATGGGTGTATTTTTAAACCATCACAATCGGTGTTGGAGATTAGTGACTTTTCTCATTTTCTTCGTCTTTCTCCCAGACAGAGGCCTTAGACCTGGATTCCAGAGATGCATCATGAAGCCAAATGCACAGCTGGCAAAGACAGTGCCCCCTGGGCCAACTCGCTTACTTCCTCCTCTTCCTTTCATTCTGGTCCATCCCTCATTTGCCCCGGCACCCTCACAGTCACCTGTCCAGCTTCTGCTCTCTCTTGACAGGCCTTGGTGTGGATTGTCAGTCCTTGTCCAGTGTGGTTCTGCTGCTGGGGGAGGACATAGGGGCTAAGGCATGGTTTGGACCAGGAGAGAGGAGGAGGAAAGGGAAAAGAGGCCGTCCATAGGGTCTGGTCCCACAGTCAGCCCTTTCTCTCTGTGAATCATAATTTCCTGGGAGCACATCTCCTATTATGCTAATGGAGTATTTGTCTTGTTGCCAGACTTGAATGACGTACAAGGTCTGGCTCTGAGCTCTTGGAAATTGGAGTTAGAGCAAGAGGGAAGGATCTTGTCTACCACATTTAGAACCTGGATTTTAAATTAATTATACATAATCAGCATAATTTAATTACACTTAGGACAGAAGTTTTCAAAGTGTGTTCTAAGGAACCTAAGATTCTGTGTACATCTTTATGAAATTTTGCAAATGCTCTAATTAAAAGTTTAATATACCACATGCCTTTAATTATAAACAAATAATATATACCAACTTATAACAATCAGCACATTAGCTTGTGCCTGCCAACCTAACTTTGTGTGTATGAGCCCAGCAATTGAAATAAAGCTTTTCCTGCTATCACTATTAACTGGAAAGTGTCTTGAGTTTGCAAAGCAAACTTTTTTTCAAAAACTGTTACTATTGGCTGCTACTCACCTGTGGGAATCAGACTTTCCTTCCTCTTATATAATCAAAACAAAATCCTAAACAATTGGATGCTTAGGCTGATAAGACTTCAATCTACCTCCTTAACTCCCCATTTTAAACTGTGTGTCACAAAGATTTTCCATTATTTCCTTGATTAACTTCTAATAAATGAAAGTTATGAATTAAAGCCCATAAACTATGTTCCATAATAATTTGTCAATTTTAATCTGTTTTATACATTAACGTATCAGGATGCTTGCTGTTGCAAATTACAGAAAGCCCCAGCTCAGAATGGCTTAAGCAATAAGAGGATTTGTCTTCTTACATTGAAAGAAATTTCAGGGTCAGTCAATTTGATGGCTCAGCAACCTTGCAGAGGACACAGGTTCTGCCCCTTTTCTGTTTTGCTTTCCTCAGGGTGTTGTCTTTGGGTTAACTCCCCTTCAGATAGCAAGATGGTTGCCATAGTTCCAAGCATCCCATGCCCACATGGAGATATGCAGTGGGGGGAAAAGGGCCAAGTGTCTCTTCTTAGAAGCAAGTAGTTTTTTCCAGAAGCCCCAGGACAGGCATCCGCTGGCGTTTCATTGCTCAGAACGTGTCTACACCAGTCATGGCAAGGAGAAGGCCCACCATAAGTGGCCTTTCATGAATCATGGCGGGGAGACATGGACCCGAACAAAATCTGACTTCAGCTAGCCTGAACGTAGGCGAGAAGGACTGTTGGAACTCTACAAAAAGTGTCTGCTAGAATTTGGGTTCCTTATACAAGTCATTTGATAAAACCATTTTGCTACTAAAAATGTTTTTTAATAAAATTTTGTGAAACTATAATGACAAAAAGAAAGAATCCCATATTGTGGCTATCTAGGGGTGATAGGTGAAAGGGTAAAGGAGGACAAGGAAGCTTTCAGAGGCGACAGATACATTGATAATCTTGATGGTGGTGAAAGTTTCACAAGTGTGTAATATGTCAAATCTCATCATCACATTTACACTTTAAGTATGCGCAATTTTCTGTGCCTCAATTCTATGTAGATAGAGCTGTAAAGAAAGAAACAGAAAGAGATTGAACCTTTTCAACTGAAAAGTTTTAACATGGGAATACTAATCATCTTTCTCTAGGGTAATTTTTCTTTATAACTTTACAGCTATTTTTGCAGGTTTATGTTTCCACACTAACCCCCTACATCGTGTCAGTAGGTCCTTTCTATTTATCAGACACTTGGGTGTACTGAGGCTTCTAGAGGCATAGGCTGGTGAAGATGTAAAAGTTGTCTTTTCTCTTTTACTTGGTTCCACTTGCAGCTCCTGGTCGTTTCACGGATTCCAACTCTGGAGCCTGCATTCAGGCCAGGAGCCTCTCCCTGCACCTGCCGTAGGCTCCTCTCTAGCCGCCTTCTCTCCTTGCTTGTGTCCTGGAAGCTTCATCAAAGTGAGTGGCAGCTGTGCGCCTGGAGAAGGTAAGCACGAGTTCAGGTGGTGAGGAGGAGATTGGCTCCCTCCGGCACACACAGACCAAATGTCTTAGCTGGAGCGAAGCATGAAAGAGAAGTCATAGCAGGGAGGGGTGAAACTAAAGGCAGCCAGCAGAGAGAAGGGGCTGTCACTGCTCGTCGAGGTTCCCTGAAATGGAAGGTTTGTGGAAGTGAGGTCCCAAAGCCCTCTTTCCTTCTTCGTGTCTTTGCCTGCCTACATTTTCCATTAACAGATGTTGCTGTGACATTTGTGGTAATGATGGCTCAGAACCCCAGAAACAATCCTGCTCATTGCAGACCCCAGAGATGCCTGGCTTAGAGTGTGAGGATAGAGGGAAGGCTTATCAGTTGATACCTTAACAGTTGGAAGACATTGGTGTTCAAGGAGATGAAAAATTCCCACTAGAATCACTCCTTCCATTGAACATGACTCTAATGGTATTAATGCATTGAAAATATTTGCTGGATTTTATAGAGCAGCTATTAATAGTCAGGCACTGACTGGGTATTTTATATACATTATCTAAATCCATGCAATAACCCTTCAAGGAAGTTATTGTGATCCACTTTCTACACATGAGAAAACTGAAGCTCAAAGAAGCAGAATGACTTCCCCAAGACCATTACACTGATCAAGGAGAGCTGCTTGGACTTGAACCTGTGTATGTTTAGCTTTAGACCTAGTTCTTCTTCTGCCCTAGCAGACCACCTGCCCATTCTCTGGGCCACATTTTCTTAGACACAGTCCGCCTATCTCACATCTCTTCTTTCTGTGCCCTACTCCGACTTTTTATGCCCCTACATCCCAGTCTCCTAGCAGGTTGTCAAAATGACATTAGCTGATAAAGAATCGAGATATTAGCAGTCTCATTTTCAGAACAGAAACGAAAAGATCAAAAAGCAGTCCGAGCACCAGGGAATGAATCAAGGAGACTGGCGGGGTCAATAGCACAGACCGCTTTCCAAATCTTCTTTTCCGATCTTGGTAGATATTGTCAGCTGCCAAGCTCTTTCTCAAAGAAGCCCTAAACAATGTCACGGTCAAGGAGACAATTCTGAGGTGGGAGGGGCGTGCATGAGCTCCAGAGCAGGACACCTCAGGGTTTCATTGGTGGGTGCCGATGGCAGGGGCCTCCCCTCTGTCCATGAGCCACACAGGTCCACCCCTGAGGGGCCTGTGGCATTAATTTGTTTCCTTTCCCTGGTATGCCAGGGACTCACTGTCCTCTCATCAAAAGCAAGGGGCGAGGGAGTACAGAACAGAGAAACAGGAGGAAATGAAAGCTCTTTGAAAGGGTGGAGGAAATCCTAGCATAAACAAGAGAGGGGAGAAAAAGCTGCTGGAGAGTAAGCAAAAGAAGTCTGTGTCTGTAGCCCCTGGACCAGCAGAAAGCTGATTTGTTTTCTATAAAAAGAGATGTGTCATTTTCCCCCTCTTTCTTGGCAAATAATGACAAAGAAGAATGGTTGTGGAGTTTACTGAAATGGAATAGTCTGCAGAGATATTCCGCGTGAATCAAATGTGCTCTCAGATATCTTATCATGTTCCCCACCAACTTGTTTTTATTTCAAAATTGCCTACAACAGGTGCCGTCGTCTGGGCAAAGTATAAAATGGTACCTTGCAACAGCTGTGCATAGAGCTTGCATAGAAATAGTAAAGAAAGGTTACACAACATGACTGGTCTCATATGGCTCGGAGCAGCTCTAGAATTTAAAACATTTCCTTGTCCTCGAGTTAAATTGGGCCCCTGTGATATATGTTCTGTAACTTAATATGAAAAACTCCTGATGGATGGGTAGATATGATGGCTGCCAAAGCTGCCCGTAGGCACCTGCAAGGAACGCATGCACCCTGAACGGACCCAGCTCTGCAAACATAAGCCTCTCTGAAGTGCTGTTTGCTCAGTGTGTGCAAGTGGGCTCTCCCTGACATGTGGGAAAGACTCTGTGCTTTCATGCAGATGTCACCTACACCCAAGACACTTCTCAAGCTACAGCCCAAGTAGAATCAACTGTCGTTTATGACATTTCCAGCACCCCAGTTCCCATTCTTTCTCGCCAACTCAAGCACTTATGAATGCTGTTGACAGTGGTACCGTTAAACCTGTTCTAATCCTTAAACTTCAGTTCTGTATTTGTAACCGTCTAAGAGAGCCACCACCTGCAGTTGACGATGGTACCTTATGAGCCAGGACTGCAGCTGAGAACTACTGGTTTAGAGGGCTTTCATAATTTGACAAATTATATCAGAGCCATACAGAACATACTTCATTTACCCCCCCACGTATTTTTCCACATGTGATTTGAAATGGAACAGAATGCTCTCAGGGGGCAGAAGTCCAACCATGTGCATTCAGTCAGGATTCTGAGTAGCATGCAACAGAAAGAGATGCTGGTGGGTTGAAGCAGGAAAGGAACATGTAGCATTTAGCTCGCAGAGTACTTGCTGAGGCTCTGCAGCAGGGCCTGCACACTGGGAACAATGTCCCTAGTCATGCTGCAGAGCTTGTCTGGCGAGGCTGCTGATGCTGCAGAGCTCTAGGTGCTCTAGCGGGTCCCACACACACCACGAGCACTAGCACTGCCAGCCCAGCAGCTCCATCTCTCCGAAAACCCTGCCACTGTCACACACAGGCATATGAACCCTGGGCCTATGCAGTAGCCCCAGGTGATGGACCAAGTAAGTGGCGGGCATGGGTTGGAATCCCAGAACAGGTTTTGGAGTTGATGTATTATGAGGGAAATCAGTAGATAATCATCATTGTGACATTTCGCTAGACGGTGGGCAGGGCCACCATGTTTCTTGTTCACATCTCTGTCCCTAAGCCCTAGCGTATTACCTGGCACTTAGAAAGGGCTCAATAAGCATTTGTTGAAATGAATTAAAATTGAATTTTAAATTTAGAAGAACCCTTTCCAAGGGCTGACTGCCAGTTACTATTACAAATTAGTTCTACTAAATCAAAGTAAATTAGAAAGGCAATAAAAAATAGACTCTCCAAGCCTCGTGGTCATGTGCACTCACCTACCACAGCATTGGCCGTAGGCCTACAGGTTACTGGTCGGCTTGTTTGTTTGTTTTTATGCTCGGTGGCAGCTTTACTTTTTCTAGTAATAACTGGGTCTGCCTGTGCCTGTCCATCCGTGTGAGCATATTGAGTGAAGGTTATTATATTTTGCTCTCAAGAAATGAAACTATCATCAACCATCACCTGGAGACCAGAGTATTTGCTTCTGTTTTGTGTGACTCTGATGGGGGAGGAAAGGAGGACCTTTCCCTGTAGGCAAAAAAATAATTTCAAAGGCTTATTTTCAAAGACCACGTCCACACATCATGTTCCTGTTGAATTACCCCAGATGGTTTGCCCTGTTCATTTCTTCCGGGTCCTTTGCAAAATTCCCAAGTACCAGACTAAGAGTAGAGAGCATTATAGATGATTTCTCAAGCAGATTCAGCAAGATGGTCATTGTTAATACACAAATATACAATTTGTGTTGGAGCTGTGCTGTAAGATTGCAGTATGGATTACTTCCCCTAGTATACATGCCAAAAAAGTTTTAATTGATTCTGGGCGAATCATAAATTTTTATGCTCTTGATTCAGAAAAAATGCCTTTCAAAGTATAAAGGTCCCCAATCTCAGGGTCATCAAATAGGGAGAACTGAGAAGTGCTCAAAAGTGATCATGAACTAGATTTCATCTGGTTTAACGTTATTTGGATTAAAGTATGAATGTGCTCATTCTCTGCCATAAAGAGTTATTTTCTTCAGGTGGGAGGGTTAGGTTTTGGGTATGTGTGTATGGGGGTGTGTGGGTGTGTAAAGTTTCCCTACATATATACTCTCCCTCATTGGTTTAGAAATCATTTTTTTTTAAATGGTTTGCATCCTCCCTGAACCATTTATGGGTGCTTACGGATAAGACTGGTGGCAGGGTAGGTGACCTGAGAGAGCAGACCTGGAGGAAGGAGCAACTGTTACTGCAGGAGAGTCACAAAGCCTTCTCTCCTGTGAAGTAAAAGTTGTCAACATGATAAAACTCAGAGGTGACCTGATTGTTGTTATTACCAGACAGGAAATAACTTGGGCAACAAACCCTGACACCACAGGTCAGGGGAAAAGGTAAAGAAAAAAAGGCCTCTACCTCTGGAGAAGGGGCAGGCGGCATCCCAGGACAAGGATCCTACTAAAATACCGTGAGAGCCCTCCTGCTGGGGGAGGACAGGAAGCTCTCTTCCACACAAGACCCACCAAAGATAGAAGGCAGAGTTTGGCTGCCATTAGGAGGACGGGCAGAATCAATGAGAAAGTCCCCAAAGTGAGGCTCAGGGCGTAGAGCCTGGCTAAGTCTGAGGGTGATCCAGGACAAGAAAAACGCCACTCCTCTCTTCCCTTCCACCAGCAGGGTAGCAAACCTCAAGTAACAAGCAATAGCTGTCTCCTGTTGGATGGGGAGCAAAAGCATGGAAAGAGATCATCCTTGAAGCACAGGCACATAAGGAAAGGTAAAAAATGAGGGCAGAACACCCAGCACCCTAAGCAAAGTTAGACCAGAAGTTTTCCTTTGTCACTATTGACATTTTGGGCCATATAATTCTTTGCTGTGGGAGGCTGTTCTGTGCATGGTAGGATGCTTAGTAGCATCTGTGGCCTCTACACACTAAATTCTAGTTTGATATCCCACCCCAGTTGTGACAATCAAAAGTGTGTGCAAACCTTGATAAATGTTCCCTGGGGGTGAAATCATTCCTGGACGAGAACCACTGTGTTAGAGAAGGTTGAAGCTAGTAGTGCACTGAAGAGGGCCATAAGAACATAAAACTCAAATCCACCTCAATTTCTCACTAGATTGACTCAGACTCACACTAAAGGCCTGGCATAACAAAAAGGCATGCTCATTTTCAAACCAAAGAATATTTACCTCAGCCTCTTATTCTACATATGATGTTCAGCACTCAACCAAAAATTATGAGACAAAACAAG